TTTTTTTTTTTTTTTTTTTTTGAGACAGGGTCTCACTATGTAGTTGAGACTGACCTGGAACTCACTATGTAGCCCAGGCTGGTCTCTCACAGCAATCCTCCTGCCTCAGCCTCCCCAGGCGTGCACTACCACGCCCAGCTTGGTCAGTCTTTAAAATAGCATGCCTAAAGTTGTCTTGATAGGTTCAAGCAAACCTCCTGCCTCAGCCTCCCAAATAGCTGGTGTGCAGCACACCAGGCTCTGGTCAATCACTTTTTAAAGACAAAATTTCAATTCCCACACATGAGCTCTCTCCAAAAGGCACTACTTTTTTTGTGTCCTTTCTAGAGGGTAATACAAAATAAAGTAGCACCCACAGCATACACTGTACCCCTTCATTTGCCTTTGTGTTAACAGCTCTGGATTATGCTGGCTTGACGGTTAGCTGTACTGTACCAGGGGTTTACTGGATTCCAGACATCTAAGTGCCTTTTTTTTTTTTCTTTGGTACCAGGGATCAAACTCAGGTCCTTGGGCTTGCTTGCAAGGCAAGTGGCAGAACTACTGAACTAAATCCCTGGCCCTGCTCTAAACTTTTTAAAAAAATGACATGTGATACAGCTTTGTTTTCACCCTGTGTTTCAAACTTGAGTATGAGACATAAGCACAGTAAACTCTGGGAGAAGTTGGACCTTAAGGAAAAGTAGGGGACCTACAGTCTAGCAACAAAATGTAAAAATGGGATGGGCTTATTGTACTACATCAGGACTGATTTCAGGAGTTTAGTGGCTGGAGAACCTTTGAGAACTGGGTCTTCCTCCTCCCTTTTCTTAAAAGAAAACAGAATCAGCACAGAAACTTTTATGAGGCCTCAGTCAACTTTTCATAAACTAAAGTGAGGCCATTCCAGTTGGGCAGAAAGGCAACTGAATACAAAGAGTCTCATCAAATTGTGTCCATGCCTCCCTTTCTCAAAGTCTCCAAAGGGGCCAGCCAGGATAGCAGTGTATCTTAATCCTTGATATGCCTCCAGGGCACATCATGCCACTTGAGTAGGTAGTGATCAGTAAAAGTCAGCAAGGCTTACCACTTTGCCTTGGGCAGTGGCACCGAATTAGAATTTCCAAACATTTATCTCATTCTCCCAACAGCTGGAGTGGTCACCCTTACCCAGGTGCCGCTTTGTACAGCTCTTCTGGTCTCAGCCCCAGTGTGGGGAAGTAGCTAGCGAATGCAGCATTTTGTAATGACCTCTGTTCAGGTAGTTAGCAAGTTGCATTGTAACTTTGTCTGTTTCTCCTTGGACAGTGAGCTACTCCTCAGGCAGAGCTATTACTGGATTGAACCTCAGTAAAATGTCTGATGAATTATGTTTCTTGTAGAATTACTGTTTACACAATGTAAAGCTAATTCCATGACTTGGAAGAAATTCATTGTTACATTGGATTCTCAGCCCCTCACACTGAGACCTGCCTTAGCATACCAGAGACCGAGGATGTCCATTGAGCATCTTCCTGGGCTCCCTAAATCCATCCAGCCCAGCATGCTTTGTAGCAGTGATCGTGGCCCTGCATTCAGAGAGATCCCAGCATCTGTCCAATAGATTTATCTTCCTGCTTACTGTGGTTTGAGTTGCTCTCACAAGCAGAATAATTAACACATAGCCCCATCTGCTTTCATGCACTGCTGCTGAGAGAGATTACCATTTCTTGATCTCCAACCTCAGCTGGTCTACTACTTGGGTCTTGCAAATTCCTTATCCTGTAAGGATTGCCTTGTTCACTAAAAAAAAATAAAAGGTGTTAAATAGGAGTTCCTTCAACATTCTACTCCCCATCCTGACTCCAAACTTGCCAATGACTACTCATCCAATTTATGTGCATCTTCCCTTCTTAGGCGAAGTCCCTTGCTTGGAGCCCTGTGCTATAGATCACTAAAACCAGGCCTAACTCTCTGCCTCTTCCCACAGATGAGGCAGGGCTCTGCAGGAGGAGAACAAGCAACAAATGGGCCGAGAAGTGAACTTGTCTTCCTCCCACCCATTGGCCAGAGAACCAAGCAGGATGTACCCAGACCTTAGCTACTCTCCTGGCTCTGTTACAGACCATCCCCCCTTCACCTCCCCCTGCGCATCCCTTACCTCTGCCACTATAAACGCGTGGTTGCTTGATTTCTCTCCCATCAGGAGTTAGAGCCCCACCTTCTATTTCTGTCATTTCTTACTCCGTGGACCCTGCAGCTGCAGCCGTGCAGTCCCTCATATATAATGCACATCAACCTAGCTGTGCCTGGATTTTGCCCCCTTCTGGCCACTTAAGGACTGCGCCATCTTATTCCTTCTCTCTCCTCTTTTAGATTTATGGTTTCAAAATTCCTTTAATTCTAAACACACACCTTCTAGCCAATGAATTGCCCAAGATCTGAATTTAAAATGAAAATTTTGCCAGGAATTTAGCTCAGTGGTGCCACCTGCCTTGAAAGCGCAAGGTCTGGAGTTCGATCCCTGGTATCGAAATATAAATAAATGAAATGAAATGAAAAATTTAAGAAGCCAGGCATTGTGGCATGTACCTGCAATCCCAGGACTCTAGGGAGACTGAGGCAAGATCTCAAATTGAAGCCCAGCCTGAGAACTTAGTGACTTAGCAAGACTATCTTTTTTTTTTTTTTTAAGCAAAACATTGGTATAATGAATGTATAATGATCACATTCATAATAGGGAATTTGTACCTGTATACAATATATCTTGGTTTTTCCCAATTCCCCTTCTGTCCCTTCAACCTCTCTTTCCCTGTTTACAAAAGATTTATTCATTTTTCCTTGTCCCCTTTCCACCCCCATCTTTTTTTGTTGTTGTACCAGGGATCGAATTCAGGCCCTTGTGCTTGCCAGCTAGGTGGCAGAACCACTGAGCTAAATCCCTGGCCCTCCACCCCCATCTTGATCCACTTCACATTTGAACATTTTCCTCCTATTTCCTAGTATCTGTTATACATTTTGGCCCTTATTTCTGCTTTAGGCTTCTCGCACCAGAGAAACGATACAGTACTTAAACATGTGTTTCTGATTTATTTCAATTAAGAGTCTAGTCTCAAGATGCATCTATTTAGCTAGAAATGACTCAAGCTTATCCTTTTTATGGCAGAGTAGTACTCCATTGTATACAAACTACACCTTTATCCATTCACCATATGATGGGCATTTGGGCTGTTTCCAAGATTTAGGTATTACAAACTGGTGCTATAAACATGGGTGTGCATATATCACTGCGGTATGATGCTTTTAATTCTTTCAGGAAGATATCAAGAACCGGACACTTGGGTCAAATGGAGACTCTAGTTTTAGGTTTTTGAGGAATCTTCACACTGATTTTGACAGCGGCAGCACCAGTCTACACTCCCAGCAACAGTGGAGAAGGGTTCCTTTTGTCCCATAGCTCTGACAGCATTTGTTATTGGCTGATTTTTTGACAATCAG